GTGTTGATGACGAGGACGGTGCCCCGATTATGATGATGTTGGTGATGATGATGTTGATGTTGATGTTGTTGTTGCTGATGATGATGACGTTGATTGTGATAACGGTTGTGATATCGATAGTGAGATCGATAATGAGACCGAATGTGATATCGATTGTCAGATCGATTGTGAGATCGATGGTCAGATCAAGTGTAATATAGATCGAGTGAGATCGATTGTGAGATCGATCGAGGGAGATCGATCGGGCGAGGCCGATACTGAGATCGATAGTGAGATCGATAGTGAGACCGATCGAGTGAGACGTTGGTTCCTCCCCCCTCCTAACCTCCTTATCACCCGCAGGGTGGTCGTATAGGTACTGCATCTTTCTTGCCTCAAAGGTATCGCCGGAAACTGGGGGCGCAGCGGCCCCCGCCTTCGAAGCGCGGCCAGCCCGTTGCAGCGCAAGCGCAGTTGGCTGATGTTTCAGATTCCCAGTCATGGCGAGCGTCAAATTCGCAAGCTCCTCCTTTCCCTGCAAATTATGATCCAAGATCTTCTTGTGTTTCACCAGGAACGCAGCCTCTGCATATCGATGCCCAATTAAGGTCCCAACTTCTACTTCTTGCTCAACCTCCAACATTCTCGGATCGGCCTCCGCCTCGGCGCCGGCCTTTCCTGAGAGCAGTCAGCGCTCCTCTCGCGGCCCATGTGGCTGATTTGCGCAGCGGGAATTATCGCGTTGAACGCAAGCAGCCTATTCAACGCCCCCCACGACCCTACCCTCCGCCGAGCGGCTGAGCCGCCCGGGCGCGCCCGGACGGAGCATCGCTACCCCGCCCCCGTTGCCGCCCGATTGAATCGGCGCGGGGGTTGCTTCAACGGGCGAAGGCGCAAGCAGGCCCCGAGAACAACGTTCCTGGCTCAGCCCTGCGCGCAAACCCATCTCTGTCAGAGCGGCACTCATAAACGCCGCAGGCTGAGCCTGCACTTGCGGCGCCTCGGGCTGGGCCTGCGACGGGGCGGGCATTTCCCGCGTCGCCAATTGTTCACGAACCTGTTTGCGCAACTTGTTGTGGGCATGTCTCCTTGAACCTTCTTCGTTGCCCCTTTGGCAGCTTGTTCTAAGGGCCCCGCTGGCAGCGCTGCGATGCGGCCCTGGCTCTGGACCTGGGCAACTGCTTGTTGTGCCCTGGCCCTCCGCTGCTCGCGCGCGGAGGCAGCGCGCTCTCTGTCTGGCTGGATGGCATTCGCGGCCCGGGACCTGGGTCGCCCACCCATGAACTGATGCTGCCATTCCCTGTCTGTTCTCGTCGCTGCCTCTCCTCGGCAGCAACGGAGAACGAACAGGGAATTGTTATTGCATTTGGCCTTCTTCCCCTGCAGCTCGTTCCTGTTGCTCTCCTCTCCCCCGCCAGACTGGCGAACCTCGCCGCCTCCCCAGCTGCCCCCTCTCGAGCTCGGCCCGCTCCGGGCGCTGCCGGGCAACGTCTGCGGCGCCCGGCTGCATTTGCTGAACTCGTTGCGCCATCGTCTGCGAGCGCCCCCTTTCCCGCCGCGCCCGCCGCGACTGCGCGTTTGTCTAGCGCTCCAGCCGCAGCGTCTGAACTTGCAGCTGAACGGCCATTTGCTCGCCGATGGGCTTCTCCCCTCCTGCGACGGCGTTCTATTGCCCATCCCCATGCCGCGCCGGCGCGCGTGAGATCGGGCAATTGCGTTCTCTCATGTCGACGCGGTCTGGACATAGCCAGTTCGCACCGCTGCGAGGGCGCGCCCCCGAAAAATTGCCGCGCGCTGGGCGGCGACAAAGACCGCTCGGCATGCCCGCCCCCCCTGGACAACGGTGCTCTGCCATCGGGGGGCAACTTGGCCCCTGCAACCAGCGCCCCACGGCGATGGAAATTCGACTCGCGGCCGACTGCGCGGACGGACTGCGGGGCCCGCGACTGCCCCTCGACCTCGCTCGACCGAACGTAGGCGATGCGAAAAACCTGGCCGGCAACGGGGGGGTCAGAGAAGGCGCAATCGGAATCCGATCACGTCGCGGGATGGGGCCGGCGACCGAGCCTCCGAACCTCCCGTCTTTGAAGGGTAACTGGGACACGCAAATAAATACACACAAATAAAAGAATCCCCCATATTTTCCACTATTTTCTGGGTTTCTGTCTTCCCCCCCACTTCCCATATTTTCCCATATTTTCCTGGGAGTCGACGATTAATTGTGTCTGTGTGTTTCTTTCCCTCCTGAGTCTTGCTGGACTAAATCCGACAAGACCAGAAAGTCACCGCCCCCCCCTCAACTCGGGCTGGACGGAAAGGGTGGATAGCAACAAATGGGGGGGGGGGAGAATCAGCTCACGGGGCTGATTTCCCCGGCGCCCCCCGGCGCCTGGAGGCGCCCGCGCGTCGAGGCGCGGGCCCGGCGGCGGGGCCGAAACCAGCTGCGCGCAGCAGATTTCGCAACCCCCCCTTTCCCTACCACCCCCATTCGTTCGGGCCGATCAACTTCTTGAACGCTCGGGGGACTTGTCGTTTTGGGGGGGGGCGCATCGGCGAACGCCGGCTGAGCCAGCAGCCCGCGCTATTCGACGCCCTGGCTTTCACGCCGGGGGTCGAAGTGCCGCGACAAGGCCCGCCGTCTGAGACGCGGGCTGACAATGGGCAGTGGGAGGGCGGGCGAATCGCCGCCCGACAGCTCCCCCTTCCGACGGGAATCCGTCTGGACATTGAGCCCAGACCGCCGGCTGAGCCGATGGTCCCGGGGCACCTGTCACCGAATCCAGCGACTGAGTCGCTCGGTTCGTCATGATTGCGCGCCGGCTCGGGGCCAACATCCGACCCGACCATCATTGGCCAGCTCCCGATGAAGATCACCCCCTGCGGCATTCAAACTAGTTTGGGACATCATCTGACAGGGGAAAAGCCGAGCTCGCCGTCAGCAACGCTGTGCCCGACGATTCTTTACTGCCCGAGCCATGGATGGGATGAGTTGCGCCCCCGTCGGGCTGCCCTCATCCTGAGGATGACGCGTCGGGCAACGACTGGCTGAGCAAGTCTTACCAAACGTCTCCACTCTCGCGGCAATGTCCCTCGGCCCTCCGCGAAGGTCTTCATCTGGTAAACGGCTTCCAGGCACGTTGATTGGCCGCAGAGGAAGACTGGCACGGTGCGACTGTCCTGCGCCACTGTAGCTTGCAACTCCAGGACGAAGCTCTTGTTCGTGATCTTCCCTACCGCGAAGTCCTCGAGTCCTCGCGGGCGAGCTCGCCGCGTCGCAATCATCGGTTGGTCCAGAATTTTCGGCTGACAACCAGCCTTTTGCGACAGGATTGGCAAAGTCTGTCCTCGTGATCTCAACATCCAATTCTTCGAATGAGATGCGAACCACATCGGCATAAACCTGCATTCCTTGGGGAGGTCGCCAGGCTGGCTGGACAAGCGAGCTCGACATGGTGTGTATCTGGCAGGCTAGCATGTCCCCCCAGGAGGGGGGGGGGGGGGGGGCAGCCGGCTGGCGACGACGGACGACGGCGGCGCGCCCCTTCTCTCGCTCTTCAACACATGTACACAGCTGCGAAAGCAGTAAGATGGCAATGGTAACCAGCAATATGAATACAAAGGCGGCGGCGGCAAAAGAGAGGACACGGGTACAGTTCAAACAGCTGGACATACATGAGGTGCGTGGCGTGGTCCGTCCTGGTCCCGTCTGAGTCTATTCCGTTAGTGATGACGTTGCTAGGAGATCCCGTCGCAGCGTGGCGCGTTGCGCCGCCCAGGCCGCGATCTAAACAACCTGATGGTGTAGGATCACACGCCCGATCGCCACGTTGAGTCAGGCTTGAACTTCCTACCAAATCTCGAAAATGCGTTTCCTTGCGGTGATCAATATGGTCCTCGCGTGCTTGTGCCGTCATTTCCTCCACGGACGTGGCCGATAGTAGCCTCAGGTGCAAGCCAAACGGCAACATACATGATGAACCGTACAACGTAAAAGAAAATAATGCGGGGCAACGTTGACTTTGAGTATCGTCGTTCGCCGTCGAATGCGCCTTGGGGTCATGTGATCAGCCTCGGAGTGGCCTGTGTTACGGCAGTTTGTTTGAAAACGTATACGTGGTATGATCATCCTGGTTGGTGGCATAGCTTATAATGGTAATGGAGGACATACCCAAGGCTATTACCAACTCGTCTTCGAAGGACCTCACACATTGTTCCGCATGCAGATCTGACCGTTCTTATCCGAAGGCCTTGTGGTCGCAACGCCCGGGCCCAGATAATACACAAATGCTTCCTCGGAGAAGCTGTTCGGGAGTCGGCGCAAGGAGGGCGCATTGGGTTTGGATGTAGAGCAAGATCAAGGTCATCAAGACGGACGCCACCATGAATAGACCAGTTCCGCCACCAAATCGAAAACACATTTCCCGTCGGTCATGCGTCACGTAAGAAGTATACTGAACTGGTGGTGATGGGAAGGGGGATGGAAGCACATGGTTCTGTACTTCCGCACAAGAGAGTACACGGTGTGCACTGGCACATAAGGCACCCGTGCCTGCACATTCGCACAGCCACCCGAGCCAAACGGCAGCTGATACGTAGAATGCCCAGCAATCCCCCACCAGGTCTCCCCCACAGCGCCCCAGCCCCTGGGCCCGGGAACAACCAAGAGGCTTGTTGGTTGGCTTGCTTGCTCTGGGAGGCCTCCGTCGACCTCCACAAGCCACCAGGGGGCCCCCCAAGGTCTCAATCTTCCTCCTCCTCTCCTCCTCATCCTCCTCCAACGCCTCAGCCTCCTCTTCCTGCAACGCATCCTCCTCCTCCTCCTCCTCCTTCTCCTCCTCCCTCCAACGCCTCGGCCTCCTCGTCCTGCAACGCCTCCTCCTCCCCCTCCTCCCCCTCCTCCTCCTCCTCCTACTCCTCCTCCTCCTCCTCCTCCTCCTCCTCCTCCTCGTACCAAGTCAGCGTCACACCTACCTACCTACCGACCTACCTACCGACCTACCTACCCATCTTCCTCCTCCTCCTCCTCCTCCTCCTCAGAGGCATCTGGATGCCGAACCAGGAAGGGCCCAGCAGCGCCCCCCCCAAACTTCGACATCTCCGACCTGCGAGGATCGAGGGGTCCTGCAGGAGGAGCAGGGCGGGAGGAGTCCTGCAGGGAAGCTTTGCCTGGTCGTTCCTGGGCTCATGCTGCTCCCATCGCCATCCAGGACCACATCCCAGAAGTAATTTCGAGCACCCAGAGAAGCATCGAAACAATGTCGAACGAGCATCGCCTCCCAGGGCCCGACACTTGAGAATCCCCCAGTTTCGGTACTTGCTCGGTGCTCGACATTCCTTCTGGCGATCACGGCTCAAGAGGGCTGGAACATCAGAAGCCCCCGCTGGCCTCAAGCGGTGGCCCGGCAGCCGCAGTTCTGGGCGAAGCTGGGAGACACGAAGTTCACGAAAAAATATCCAAGGCTTGGCGGTGGATCGGGGGGCTCGCTCTCGGGGGTCCTTCGGGGGCCTCCCGCACGGGGGCCAGAGCGCGGTCGCCGCACGTCCCGGGGATGGAGCCTCGGGCTGCGTGGCCCCTGGGAGTCAGAGGTGCGCCCTGCCGCAGGGGCCGAGGAGACAGGGACCCAGGCATGCTCGCGTCGTGACTCGGAAACGACGGGTGGTGTTTTTTAGATTTGTTGGCCTCCAGGGGCCATTTCCAGTCCATGGGACCGACTCAGGATGAGAAACCTGTCGCTGGTAAGGGTTCCAGGCCTCTGGGCGTCACGTCACGAAAAGGATAAACATGACGTTTGGCATGCAGGGGCACCCTTGGAAACTCAACCCATCCTTCTGGTGGGCGGCGACCGTATGTAAGCGGGGCCCAAGATCGCAGCGCACCGACGATGCATCGGCGATGCAGGGACGGGGGGGATCTGGCTCTGAGTCGCTGCGATCTGGGAGGCCCCGCTTGCTCCGTCCCCAGTCAGGTGGCCAAGGAGTCCTTCGCCTCGTCTTCCCTGGGAAGAAGAGGAAGAAGTCGTACTGCCCCTCGCAGAGACAGAAATGAAGCCGTGGGAGTGGTGAGTTCGGCCTCCTCTTCCTCCTTCTCCTCCTCCTCCTCCTCCTCCCCGCATCGTTCTACAATTACTCAATATGAAAATGCTCTCCCTCTTCCCCTGATGGCGTCTGGGTGATGGCCGCGCACCCTCCGCGTACTGTTCTTTACACACAAGATTCCCGGGAAATCCCGGGAAACGACTCTCGCTGAAGCGCCGGCGTCATTTTCGGGCCGAACGCCCCCCGCATATTGTCTTTTTACACACAGGATTCCCGGGAAACGGGTGTTCGACTGCGTTTTTTTTTTCTCAAAATGATGCTCTCGCTGAGGCGCCGGCCTCATTTCTGCTCCCGAATCGTTCCGAATCGTGCTCCCGCTGCAGCGTGGGCCTCATTTTCGGATCGGTGTTTGGCCTCCGTCGTTCAGGATGGCGTTCTCGCCCCAGCGCGGGCCTCTTTCTCGCGCGCCCATCCGCCCGCCACCACCGCGCACCACCCACCACCACCACCACCACCACCACCACCACCACCACCACCACCACCACCACCGCCATCACAACCACCACCAGCACCAGCACCAGCACCAGCACCAGCACCAGCACCAGCACCAGCACCAGCACCATCACCACCACAACCACGCACACACGCACGCACGGACGCACGCACGTGCACCACCACCCACTACGCACGCGCGCGCGGAGCCACAGGTCCGCTACGACACGCGTCCGCGGATAGAGAAAATCAGCGCCATGGTAAGGGATGGGAGGGGGTAGGACGTCAGATATGACGCGAGCGCACCTAGCTTGCCTCCCCCCCCTCCCCCCACCCCCACCACTTTGATTTGGGCTGCCCTGGCCTCGAATCCGAGGCAGTCGAACCACGTGCGCGCAGCTTCCTGGCTCCGTGACTGGGTTGCCATCCCGTGGGGCCGAGCTGTCGGCCAGGACCAGCCAGACAGATCCCCAGCACGAAGGCTTATCAATTTAGCGTGCGACCTTAAAAACGATTGAATAAGCGCGTTCCACTTCTCGCAAAATAAACTGCTCGCAAACGGCCTGGAGTCGCTGCGGGGAATTTACGATGCACTACGTCGAGACAAGCACGTGCTTTTTGCACGTTTGCGAGCAGACACTTTGCGAGTAGCGAAACGCGCTCGGCGAACGACATGCGATCCAACCATGCGTGGTGCTGGTTGGGCACCGGGTTGGCTCTGCCGGGGCAAGGGGGGACGGCGGGAGATGGGCGTGTAACAAGCTCCCGGCAGAACATCGGCATGCAGGCCCATACATGCCCAATCAGATGTCATGATTTCAATACGCGACGCCCGGGCTCTGGGCACCCTTCCATGCGGT